CTGTGCTAATTATTAAAACGAAAAAGAAAGAATAAAAAGCCAGAAGGGAGAGGGAGGGAGGGAAGGAGGAGCCCCCCAGGAAGATGTAGCACACAGGCCCACAAGGACAGGCAGACAGGAACGGTGACCCCACTGAGATGGAAAAAGCCAGCAGGGAAGCAGGGAGCAGTGGCTCCGCTGCAGGGACAAGGTTGCCAGTCTCAGGTTTGAGCACCACCCCCTCCGCTTTCCCAGAAGTAGCCAGCCGGCCTCCTGGCCCCGAGCCAGGTCTCAGGGTCTTGGCACGGGGACTCTGTCCCTGCACCCCTGCCCGGTGGCCAGCACACCTGGGAACCACTGTCAAGTGCCTGGGGGCCTTCCAGGCCTGAAAGGAGCCGTTAAAGGCAGGTTTGGAAAGAGCCAGGCTGTTCTTACTAGAGACAGAGACTTGGTTCTCAGATAACAGAGGCCCCACCCCTCCTCTAGGAGCCCCCCACCCTAAGGGCATCATCACCACCTCATAGGAGCAGCAGGGGAAGCTGAAGCCAGAAGGGAAGATAGGTCATCACGGTGGGCTCTTTCCAGGAGGCTCTGCCCCTGGGTTGAAATCCCACCTCCCTCTCTCTCTTTGTGCCCTTAGGAATTTCCTCGCAACCCTCCTTAGTTGAGATATAATCTACTTACCATAAAATCCACTCTTTTGACGTGTAGTGTTTAAAAAATATATCGAATAGACAAAGTCATGCAATCATCATCACTGCCTAACTCCAGAGCAATTTCATCACCTAGGAAAAGAAACCCCATACCCACCAGCAGTCAGGCCTCCGTTTTCTTTCCTTCCCCAAGCTCCTGGCAACGACCATGCACTTAATGTCTATAGACTTGAGTATTCTGGACATTTCCTATAAATGGAATAATAGAATATACGGTCTTTTGTGACTGGCTTCTTTCCAGTAACATGTATCAGGATGTCATTCCTTTTACTGCTGAAGAGTATTCCACTGTGTGGATGTACCACCTTTATCAGTTGATGGAAAGTTGAGTTGTTTCCACTTTTTAACTGCTATGAATAATGCTGTAAGAAACATTCAGGTACAGTTTTTGAGTGGACATGTTTTCAGTTCTCTTGGGTACATACCTAGGAGCGGAATTGCTGGGTCATATGGTAACTTGGTATTTAACTTTTTGAGGAACTGCCAACAGTTTTCTAGAGCAGCTGCACCATAGGAACTCCATTTCTTAACCTCTCTGAACCTGTTTCCCATTGGCAAAGCATTAGTATTGATACCTTATAGAATGGCTGATAAGAAGGCTCCAGAAACCTTAACATTTGAAAGGCTCACATGGAGTGGAGGGCCTTGTTTTACTTTGTGAGGCCCCAAAGGAAGAGCTAAATGATTGAGGGAAGTTACAGGAAGGTAGGTTAATTTAAGGAAGGTATTTCTAACTGGAATTGTTCAGAAACAGAATTGGCAGCCCCAAAGTGTAGTGAGAGCTCATCACTGGAAGATTCCAAGCAGCATCTGGAGGCCCACCTTTCCAGGATGTTGGAGAGGGGAGACTTTCAGGGGAGGAATTGGTGTGGGTGATCTCAGGGGGCTCCTCATATGTAACCTTCCGTAGTGGATGTGGCCTATTGTCTCAACAGCATCCATTCTTTGAGGAGCCACCCTTTTTCTGCTCCAGTGTTTGGAAGGGCTGTCAATCAGAGTGCTCCATTCGCCCCTCCTACCCCAGGGGAGGGCATACAATCCAGGCTAATTAGAGTATCCCAATCTCCCGACCACACTGATTGGTTCAAGGAATGGCATGTGATCCAAAGCAGGCCAATCAGAATCTGTTTCTGCTGGAGCCGGTTCATATCCACACCCACCCTTAAATTTTCCAACTTGATAAGACTGAAGAATTCTTTTTTTTGCTTAAGCTAGTTTGGGGGTTCCTGTCCTTGCTAATAATGAAATCCTAAATACCATCACTCTATCAAAGTAGGTCTCCTTGTTCTTGTATGAGGGCCTGCCTCCCTCCAGCATTGCATTTAAACAACAGCAAGGAAAACAACAGGCAAAGCTACAATAGTTTCAAACCACTTAATCTTTACTTGAGACTCTTGAAAAAAATGCCAGAAGGGATTCCAGTCCTAATACCAAGCAAAAAAGTTTTAAAATCCATTATCTCCACCTCTCCATGCAGCTCAGATTCACAGCAGCTGGCCCCTCAGCTTGCTCCTTTCAAACACCCAAACCCCAGTTAGCTCTTAGCTTTTTCCAGTGTCCATCGACACAACCTTGCTGGGCCCTTCGCCCGCCCAGGCAGGACAGGAGGAGGCTGTGAATCCTCATACAGTAATGTGGTTTTATAGATGTTATTTTCAGGGTCAATGGAAGAGGCATGACTGTAAAATCCCATCTGTGGAGAGAGGCATGACTGTGAAATCATACTTTCAGAAGATACTGAGGTCTTTCAACCACAAGTCACATGCCAAGTTCAGCTTGGTACACATTTAGTGAGTGGCTGAGTTGTTTGGGGGCATCTGGATTTGTGTTTGACTGAGCCCCAGACACTGAAGGTCTGTTACTCTTCACTGAGTACCTGCTATGTGCCAGGCCCTGAGGGTGTATCCAGGAAAGAGAGATATTAAGGCACAAAAATGATTTCTAGGAAGTAGTGATTAAGTACTACCAAGGAGTCTTATATGGGGATTGGAAACAAAGTTGGAGTTAAGGAAGGCTCCCTGAGAAACATTTACCAACACCACCGTTTCCACCTAATAATCTCGTCCAAAGAGGAAGCTGGCACTCGGGCACACACCTCGCCACTCATGAGAGCTTCATGCTGTGATCTTTGCAAATCAAGAAGTGAAAGGGGCTGCGGGGATTTTATTTTTGTCTGACCATAACCATCTGGAGGCTGAGTAGCAGTTGTTTTAAACCCACAGGTTTTGAGGACAGCTAGATTGAGGTCTGAAACCCAGCCCCGTCACTCATCAACTGTGGGACCTTAGGCAAACAATGCTACTTCCCAGAGTTTCACTTGTTAAAAGGGGCTTTTAATACCCACCTCAAGGGATTGTTGGGAGTATTAAATGCTGTCCTACAGGTAAACTGGAGTGCCTGCTGCACTACAAAGACTCAATAAATATTAATGCTATTGAATGCTGTTTTAGATAAAGAGATTTCAAGAGAGACGTGCCCATCTTATTGAAGAATGGACTTTTTATCAGTATTTGAGAAACTGAAGCAGCACACTGAGGACATATGTAGCGCCTATGTCCTGGTAACTGGCTGAGATTTTCTGACCTGCATCCAAGGTGGCTTTTTTTCAAGGTTTTGAGAGATGCAACTTGCCCAAGTTTGTGGATGGGGCAAAAGCAGGTTCATAACTGTTCATATAGAAAATAATACAATAATTAATAAATAATAATACAAGAATACACTGTGTTTTGCATACTCACAACTTTTGTGTAAACCTACTTTTGCCCCACCCTGTATTGATGTACCAAGGCACCCAGACGCTCAATTTCCTAACTTGAAATGATGGGGTGGAGGGATAGGACGCAGGGGAAAACAAGCAAAAAGAGTGGGTGCCACATTCGGACTAACGTCACACCAGCAGGGCAGGTGCAGCAGGTGGCACATGAAGGCAAACCTGTCCCCACTGAAGAACTGCTCCCAGTTCAGAGGGATTCTTATGGCTGCTTGACAGTCATAAGCAGAGTGGCATGGAGTTAGGGCAAGGAAAGCGACTTCATTTAAAAAGCCAAGCCAAGAAGACGGCACACTAGAGTCCTAAAGAACCATCCTGAGAAAGTACAGAATTTAAGCTTCTTTTCCATCAGGGGAAGGGGGAAAATGGGAGGGGCTTGAGGTCAGGAGGTCATTGGTGACCACAGACATCTGGACCTTAGGTAAGGTCCAAGAGGATTGTGAAACTTCTTTGTATTGGTCAACAAACTCTGGCTGCCACGTCACAAGGTTCCTATAAATCTTTAAATAAACAATCTGTTTTTCTACATACCTTCCTTATCTCCTTTGGGACATAGTTTCAAGCAGGGAAGTTGTTTCAGGAATTCCTAGGCTGCAGGTTAGAATCCTTCAGTGATTAGCATACCTACCTGCAGGATTAAGCAGAAGTTACCAACTGACATGTTAAGGGAACTGGGCAAGCTCAAGCAACATAGAGTCAGAAAGTCGGATAATTTTATTCTATTACAAAGTCACAGTGTCAGAGGAAATTCCAAGATACTTAAGTGTGCCTCCCACACTTCCATCTTCCTTGTGTGTGAGGTCCAAGCATGGTCACTGTGAGCCCCCGTGAGAAGGCCTGATTGAGCTGAAGGCATGTGGCCAATCCCAGAACTATCCTGAAATTTCTGAATGTCTGCACCCAGGGCCAAACTCAGGGCAACTTTGGGATCCACTAAGTTCTTTGAAAATGCATTCTCTCTCCCAAGAACTGCTGGGATCCAAGCTAGAGCCAGCATCTGCGACAGATATTTCTCTCTGCTACCCGCATGTCTGGTCCCAGTTCATGGGCTTGGTCACAGCTGCACAGTGGTCACCAGGCCTGTATCAGAGGCAGTGTGGAATGCGACAGGCCTGGGGCTGAATCCAGAATCCAGCACCTGCACAGGCTCTCTGGGTTCTCAGAATGGCAGTTTCCTCGCCTGTAAAGTAGAGGCAATTACCTCCTTTTAAGGGTTGTGGAAAGGACAGAACAGAACATATTTAATAAAGGAGAGCGATGATCATTTTTAGAATAAAAGTGACCTTTCTTGTTGGAAAAGCAACACACAGATTATTGAAAAACTTAGAAAGTAAACATGAACAGAAAGAAGAAATTAAAAAACAACAACAGCCTGGCCGGGCGTGGCTCAGTGGTTGAGCGTGGACCTAGGATCCAGGCCATCGGGGTTTGATTCCCCGTCAGGGCACATGCCCCTGTTGAGGGCTCAATCAATGACTCTCTCCATTGATGTTTCCATCTCTCTCTCGCCCTCTCCTTTCCTCTCTCTGAAATCAAAAAAGATATATTTAAAAAAACACACACAAACCAAAAAACCCAAACACCTCACCACCCAGAGATAACAGCCACTAACATATACATGTATAGCCTCTCAAATCTGTTACCCATGCCTCCAGACACACATTTTTTTAACGGGCCCATGTTTTGGTGCTTCTTTCCTGCTCCTGAGTGAATGTATTGTGCACGCCCCTGAGACCACTCTGCACACACTGGGGCAGCAGCCTTTTAAACAACTGCAGACCATTCTGCAGTGAGGCTGGCTCTATGATTTGGAAGCAGTTACTGAAGTGAGGGGTAACACACCACAGGCTTTGGCGTCGGGGGACCAGCTTTCCCAGGAAAAGCCTATTAAGCCCTGGAGGTGGCCCCCGCCCCCCCGCTCCCGTGTGAAAAATACAGAAACTAACCGGACCAAACCCCTGGATTCTCCGGGCAGGTGGATGGGGGGCGGGGGGAGATTAAAGTAGATGGCGTGTTAAAGTGCTTGGCTCCGTATCTGGCGCATAAAACAGCTCAGATCCCGCAGCTGCGCCTGATCAGGGCTTTGTTTTTGAACTGGCCTTGAACTCTTCTTGGTCCTGCAAAAAGTCCCGTCTCGGAATCCCCAACTGTGGTTATTAATAATAAACAGTTTTCCTGCCATTTCTTCCCCCCTACACGGGTTTATTGTTCCCCCACTCCCACCTCCACCCCCACCCGGGGATTGGGCAAAACGAACCGAGCGCAGGCTGCTGGGGAGCTCGGAGCAGGGCGGGCACT